GGAAGAGAAATACCCTTCAGGTAAGATAACTACATGTATATCAGTGGTATTATATACTGATGTTCATATTAATAAGTTATAATGTGTGTTTTATGTTGTTATATCTGACTCTTTATCTACCATGAATTTTATTACTGCTTCCTCAACTAATAAAGTCTTATAAGTGGACCAAACTTTCTCAATAAAATGTAAACATTTGTATTATTAAGCTAGGTATATGTATTGTGAACGTGTGTCATGAACCTGTATCCTGAACATGTTTCCTGAACATGTATCTTGAACCTGTATCCTGAACATGCATCCTGAACATGTATCCTGAACATGTATCCTGAACTTGTATGCTGAACATGTATCCTAACTGTTTTCCTGAATTTTGTATCCTGAACTTGTATCCTGAACATGTATCCTGAACATGTATCCTGAACATGTTTCCTGAACATGTATCTTGAACCTGTATCCTGAACATGTATCCTGAACATGTATCCTGAACTTGTATCCTGAACTTGTATCCTGAACATGTATCCTGAACATGTATCCTGAACTTGCATCCTGAACTTGTATCCTGAACATGTATCCTGAACCTGTATCCTGAACATGTATCCTGAACTTGTATCCTGAACATGTATCCTGAACATGTATCCTGAGCCTGTATCCTGAACTTGTATCCTGAACATGTATCCTGAACATGTATCCTGAACTTGTATCCTGAACATGTATCCTGAACTTGTATCCTGAGCCTGTATCCTGAACTTGTATCCTGAACATGTATCCTGAACTTGTATCCTGAGCCTGTATCCTGAACTTGTATCCTGAACTTGTATCCTGAACATGTATCCTAAACATGTATCCTGAACTTGTATCCTGAACATGTATCCTAAACATGTATCCTGAACATGTATCCTGAACATGTATCCTGAACTTGTATCCTGAACTTGTATCCTGAACATGTATCCTAAACATGTATCCTGAACATGTATCCTGAACTTGTATCCTGAACATGCATCCTGAACTTGTATCCTGAACTTGTATCCTGAGCCTGTATCCTGAACATGTATCTTCCCTAGAAGTAAGTTAGAACCATTTATACAGGTTAATTAAAGACGGGTAGGTGGTATTTTTAATGGGGCAAAATAATATCATGTTGCTAAGGAAAACTAATAAAATATTTATTTCAAAATCAACGTATAAAACATAAAACAATCTGAAGGTTTATGCAGTGTATATAATATACATCAGTCAGAAGGTTCATACCATGTATAAAACATACATTAGTCTGAAGGTTCAGATGATGTATAGCATTTCAAAACTCAAGAGGATCATCAGATAGAACAATAGGAACACGTGAAATACCTGGGAATAACTATGTCGGCTGACCTTTCTTTCAAAGAACATAATAAGACAAAGGTCACGACAACCAGGAGGATGACAGGGTGGATAATGAAAATTTTCAAAACAAGGGGAAATACCATCAATGGTGACACTCTTCAAATTGCTAGTGCTCTCTCATTTTGAATATTGCTTAGTGTTGACGGCTCTGCTCAAGGCAAGAGAAATATCAGAAGAGAAATGTTAGAGTTTGAACAAATACAGCCTCTCCTCACTGAGTGATGTACTCGTTTACCAACGACTCGGACTTACGATGAGCTCTCTGACCAGTATGCATACCTAAAAAATGTATATTAGAGTATTAGAGCTGGTTTCCTCTGTTCTGTTTATTACAATATACAGTGCACTACTGTATGAACATTAAAACAGTATCAATGATGGCTGACACAAATTCACTACCATTATAGTATGCTCTTCACTTAGCAACAAATTTGTTTACCAGTGTGGTTTTAGGCACGGAACTCCGTCGTTAAGTGAGGAGAGGCTGTGCAGAGATCATTTATGGCCTGCATAGAGCTAGTAGAGCATTTAAATTACTGGGAATGCCTTAAAGTCTTGAATATGTACTCACTGGAGTGGAGGAGACAGACATACAGTGGAACCTTGAAAATCAAACGTACCAAAAATCAAACGCGTTTCAAATTTCAGACCGCTGGGTACGGGACCTGTCCGCTGGCCCGCTCTGTCCGCGTCCCCGCGCAGGCACTGTGAGCAGTCTAGCTTTGTTTATGCTTGAGTGAACACTAGCCTGCGCTCTCATTCACACATTTTACGATTATTTCGTTGTGTTTAGTGCTTGTGGGACTGTGAAATAAGCTGCCATATGCCCAAAGAAACTTGCTAGTGGTACCCCTGTGGTAAAGAAAGTGATAAACACCATAGATGTGAAGAAGGAAATACAGAAGTATGAGAGTGGCGTGAGACTTGTTGAGCTTGCCAGGATGTATGGCAAAAACAAGTTGACCATCGGTTCTATCCTGGCAAAGAAAGAACAAATCAAGGAAGCTGATGTTGAGTGGATGAGGTGCCTTCTTCAAAAATTAAGGAGATTTGTGCCAAATGGAATGATGTCCAAATGTTTGTGCAGAAGTACCACCCTGAGCAAGCTGAAACAAGCCATCTTTGCAACAAGTTCAGTGACAGAACCATGTCCCATTTTAGGGAAATGTTAAAGAGGCACCAGAAACAGAGGACTGTGGACAGTTATTTTGTGAGACAGGGGTCCAATGACTCTCAAGCTGGTCCTAGTGGCATTAAAAGACAGAGAAGGGAAGTAACCCCAGAGAGGGCTTTACCTGAAGTCCTCATGGAGGGGGATTCTCCTTCCAAACACTAACCCCAACTCCCTCTCTCCTCCTCCCTATCTTCCAGATGCCATCACCAATCTTCAATAAAGGTAAGTAAAAATGTTATTTTATATTATATGTATGTATTATTTTATATGTATGTTATTTTATATGTATGTAAAACTGTAATTAATCTCTATAAAATGTATTTTTTGTGTGAATATTTTTGGGTTTCTGGAACGGATTAATTGTATTTCCATTATTTCTTATGGGAAATATTGATTCGAATTTCAGACTTTTCGAAATTAGAACTAGCTCCTGGAATGGATTAAGTTTGATTTTGAGGTTCCACTGTACTTGATAATATATAGTGTACCTGGAAGGTACTTGAATTCCTTGTCCCAAATCTGTACACTGCCATAACATATTGGAGCGAGAAATATGGGAGGAAATGCAAGATAAACCCAGTGAAAAGCAGGGGTGCGATGGGCACAATAAGGGAACATTGTGTCAACATTCGGTGCCCCAGATTATTCAACATCTTACCAGAAGATGTTAGAAACACTACTGGAACAAGTGTAGACGTCTTCAAGAGAAAACTGGTCAAGTATATTCACCAGATACCAGATCAACCAGGCCGTGATGGATATGTGGGGCAGTGAACCTCCAGCAGCAGCAACCTGGTTAACCAGGCTAACACCAGAAGAGCCTGGCCCATGGCCAGGCTCTGGGAGTAGAAAGACTAGTAACTCATCAAAGGTACAGGTAGTAATATATGTGTAAATTACCTAGGATAACCAAAAAAGGTCAGACAAAGTGACTTATTTCCATTGGCATCCAGGTTTCAGGGTTTATTTGATATAGGATCAGGATATTGTTGAGAATCACATTAAGATAAGGTGCCTTTTAACATTAAATTTGAAACAGGCAGGGCCTTTTATGGCCATCAAGTTATCAGTTCAGTTGAGTCGAACATGGGGAATATTTGAAGAGGTTTTTGTGTCTCATATTATATCCATAAGCTCTGTTGCAGTTATCAAGGAGGAGTTTCAGAGCAGGGTTTTTATTTAAAGGGATTGTCTTGCTTATATTGTGTACACGGTAGTATGAGTGAATGTTATGTATAATGAGTAAGTTTAAATTTTTGAAGAGAAGGGGAATGTTATCTGGCACTAGATTGGGTATTCGTTCATATAGTAGCTTTTTGTTCAGTGATTTGCTATAGTAGATCCCCAGGCACAAATATAGGTGAGGTAAGGATAGATTAGAGAGTAGTACAGAGTAAGTAATGCTTTTTGAGGTAAATTGTGACATATCTTAGAGAGGTTGCCCACTGTTTGGAAGACCTTGTTTTTCTTTATGTGCTGAATGTGGGAATTGAATTTTAAATTGTTGTCAAGGTATAGACCTATGAATTTTCCCGCATTTTGACTCGCAGTGTGTGAATCATTCATCGGTGGGAGACGGCCGACTTGTTGAAAAAAAAAAAAATTAGTTGGGCATTAGGTGGCCTGTGGCCTGGTAGGCAAAGCTCTCGCTTCACACGCTGTAGGTCCATGGCTTGATTCCTAGCAGGGGTGAAAGCATTGGGTGCATTTCCTTACACCTGTTTATCCCTGTTCACCCATTGGTATAATGGGTACCTAGGTGTTAGTTGTCTGGTGTGGGTTGCATCCTGGGACAAAATTGACCTAATTTGCCCGAAATACTTTGCGTAACAAAGGGCTTTCTACTTAGTAGTATGTCATTGATGTAAGCTGGGCCTGTATACCTTGTTCTTGTAGAAATAAAGATAAAAAAACTGTAACTCTGTTCCCAAACATCATGAAGGTGTTCCATGGCTCAGTTAGCAGTGCACTCAGCAGTATGCAGACAGTGTAGTTTGCAGTCTGTATGGAATACTCATATTATGTAAAGTATAATGTTGATGTGACTAAGCTTAGTACAGCTGCCTGGGCCTTGGGCACATCTGCATAGAGCAGACACCTGTGCTTGATAGTCAGGAGGTAGTCATTGCTATTTCTTAGTTGAGTACGTATTCTGTATACCTTCCATGTCTGATTCTCCTCAAGTTGAATAATCTGTATACCCTCCATGTCTGATTCTCTTCTGGTTGAGTATTCTGCATACCTTCCATGTCAGATTCTTCTTAAGTAAATACGAGGTTTAGTCTAGTGCTGTGTATTTTGAGAATTTTCTTATTATACATATCGTTTTGAGTGATGTGCATTAGTAACTTTGTCCATATACATGGATAAATAGATTCCTTTGTCTGTTGGATTAAATTTATAATTTTTGTTTTCTTTTAATTGCTTCCTTTTATGGCAGGATGGACTTCTGTGCAGGATGTCTGACTCCACGAATATCTTCCAGCAAGCCAGGAGCAGATGGCCGGGAAGTCAGTAATTTGGTAAGAAACTCGGCAACAAATCAATTTTAACTATGTATGTATCTTCAGCTTTGACACTTTGAGCCTTTGGGAACTTTCTTTAAAGGGTGACCTCATGCAGAATCTTGCTTTATATTTTAGCTGCCTTTTAAGCCTTTATTTACTTTTCATTTTACAATTACATATATGTATGTATTGGGAGTCTGGACTAAGGAATACATGAGAAAATGCCCAAAAATCCATAGTGAGATTTGAACAAATATCCCACTGAAATCTTCCTAACCAGGAATGTCTCCTCTGTCCACAAACCATACCACAGGTGGCATTAGAATATGCGATCAGAGAGTCTCAAAACTCCAGACTGACGCGTTAGCCACTGAGCCAGCTAGCTTCAATAAGATTCTCTCAACTAAGTATATTTCTACACCTGGGTAGGTTAGCACAGGCACCCCTCTGACCACAAATGCAAATTTTTACAGGTGAATCTCCTGCTAGCATGGCCGTGGTATGGTTTTGTTTGCAACCGTGTCATTATGATTTCATGAGTCCTCTGTCCAATTAGAGGTGTACCAGGCCTTGAAAGATGAAGTTGGCCAAGAGGATTTGGTAGCCGTGAATCTGAGGTCTGTTTACACATTAAACAACACAGGTTGTTGAAACAAGAGGAAATTTTATTAACACATTTCATCGAGGCTTCTCATGGACAACATTGATCCTTCAAAAAAATGTATTGTTGTAGCCCCCCTCCTGTATGCCATCAACAAAAAATAAATCTTTGCTATAGGCCCAGGTTCTTTCCACATTAAGAACAACTCAAATTCAAATGTTTATTTCTTTTATGCGTACACAGATAATGTTGTTTACAATGTAATAAAACATTGGTAGACACAAAAGAAAGCCATTAGCATGCAATACATTTCAGGCAAACTAATCCTAATGCTTAATGTCTCCTCCTCTATTAGACTGTCCACAAGGTGAATGATTGGATCTCACAGTATAACATGAAGCTTTCTGTTTTGTTGGAAATAATTGAAAATACAGGTTATTCACATCAAGTTCATTGTAATTTAAACAGTTATTTTCATAATGATAGGCAGCTATGAGAAGGAGGGTAGTCTGTAGCTGTGATGCTCTGGCAAGTGGCATTATGGCAGTGAAATTCACTGACAACACACATTTCTGTCACGCCAAAATATGCAGCATTCTATTTTACTAGATTAGAGATGGCTATGCACAGTTGTTTAACCCTTTGACTGTTTCGGTCGTATATATACGTCTTACGAGCCACCGTTTTTGACGTATACTCATAAATTCTAGCAGCTTCAAATCAAGCAGGAGAAAGCTGGTAGGCCCACATGTGAGAGAATGGGTCTGTGTGGTCAGTGTGCATCATATAAAAAAAATCCTGCAGTGCATAATGGGAAAAAAAGACTGACCGTTTTTTTAATTAAAATGCCGCCTTTGTGGTATATTTTTGTGTAGTATTTATGGTTGTATTCTCGTTTTCTTGGTCTCATTTCATAGAATGGAAAACATATTATAGAAATAGAGGTGATTTTGATTGGTTTTACTATGAAAAGAACCCTGAAATGGAGCTCAAAGTAGGGGAAATGTTTGATTTTTGCCGATGTTCAAAAGTAAACAAATGATGCCATTTTCCAATAAATGTCCAAGTAGCCATTCTAATATGCAGTCATGAGTGGGTTGACATTATTTATATAATTATTACAATATTGCAGTAGTCTGCATAACAGTAAATCTTCTATTTTTTGTTTGAATAAAAATTCAAAATAGAAAGCAAGAGTAATAGCAGAGGGGCCTGGAGACTTGACTGATGAACAATGAAAATGTTATTTTAGGGCCAGGAATGCCTGCATTGTTCATTCTGGACCCTATTTTCAAATTGTCATATTTTTTAATTTTCGTGAAATTGGCCAAATTGCCAATTTCTGACCACGTTATTGGGTAGTTGAAATCGGTAAATGGGCAGTTTCTTGTACAGTCGATAGAAAAAAATGGAGTTCTAAAGAAATAGCTATGAGTTTGGTTGACTGGAACAGTGGAATTAGCCGAAAATAGGGCTCAAAGTGGGCGAAATCGCCAATTCGTAAATATCGCCAAGGTCGCTAACTTCGTGAGAGCGTAATTCCATCAGTTTTCCATCAAATTTCGTTCTTTTGGTGTCATTACAATTGGGGAAAGATTATCATTTCATAAGAATTTTTTTTTGGGGGGAAATTTTGCGACACCAGGAGACACCTCAGGATTTGGGGGTTGTGACAGTCAAGGGGTCAATGTAGATGAAGCTGGGTTATTTGGTTATCCCCAAGGGAAGACTTTAAGTCTCCTGAATTTTTTTTTTTTTTTTTTTTTTTTTTTTTTTTTTTTTTTTTGGCTTCTCCAACTTTTCAATTTTATTTTGCTCATAACTCAAGAATGCCTTATCCAATCAGCTTCAAATTTTCAACACTTGTGTACAATGATGAGAACCAAATTCTTGAAACTTTCAGCATGTTCTTGTACCCAATGACCAAAGTTGTTGAACCCATTCCCACTCTTGGAATGGCTTGTATAATTTTCAAAACCCTTTGTGGCATGGCTTTAAATGTTAAAAAAAAAAAAGAGGTGCCCAAAAATTTAATATTGTGTACAGTGAAATTCAGATTTGACCATTTTAATAATAATAATATCTCTATTTCTGCAAGTACAAGGTTTACAGGCCTAGCTGACATCAATGATATACTACTATATAGAATGTCTCTTGTTATGTAGAGCATTTCAGGCAAATTAGGTCAGTTTTGTCCCAGGATGCAACCCACACCAGTTGACTAAGACCCAGGTACCCATTTTACTGATAGGTGAACATGGACAGCAGGCATCTTAAGGAAACACATCCTAATGTTTCCACCCATACTGGGGAATTAATCCCAGGACCTGTGTGTGAGCTAAGTATGCTAGCGCTCTCTCTCTCACTAGCACTCTCTCTCTCTCACTAGCACTCTCTCTCTCTCACACTCTGTTTGTCTGTCTACATATCTATCATTTTTGTTGTCTGGAATACAATGGAACCTCAGTATACAACCAGCTCCCTACTCGAACAAAGCTCAGCACTCGACCAAACAAATACAACCTCCCAGAACTTCACTGTAAACTATTTCGTGTTTCTTCGCATTTTTTGGTGATTTTTTGTATTATTTGTATAAATAAGTCACCATGGGGCTTACTAGGATTATTGATAACAGCCAACCAAACAGAAAATTGGTTGGGAAGAACTTGTTCGACGCTCAAATGGAGCAGCACACAAACAGCCTTCTGGAATGAATTAAGGTCACACACAGAGGTTTCACTGTAATTGAGTCTAACATCTACTGTTCGAAGGTTGTCAGAAACTTGCAATTATACCACTTGATATCTTTCCTAACAATATTAGTACAGTGGACCCCCGGTTAACGATATTTTTTCATTCCAGAAGTATGTTCAGGTGCTAGTACTGACTGAATTTGTTCCTATAAGGAATATTGTGAAGTAGATTAGTCTATTTCAGACCCCCAAACATACACATACAAACGCACTTACATAAATACACTTACATAATTGGTCGCATTGGGAGGTGATCGTTAAGCGGGGGTCCACTGTATTTTTTTCTCCTTAAAGCATCCATGGATAATGTCTGAAAAATAGCAGATAAATTTTATCTTATTTGCATGGTCCTGAATTACATTTATCTTTGCCTTTGCTATGACTTCTTTCTAGAAAATCATTTAGTATTCTTCAGTTTCTGTCAGCCTTGCGTATGTTACATAAAATTATTTATATTAGGTGAGCTCTCAGAAAGAGATTTTTTTTTAACATGTTGGCCATTTCTCACTATGGCAGGGTGTCCCAGAAAAGAAGAAACACTTTCATCATCACTTACACCATCACTGTCTTGCCAGAGGCATGCCAATACTACAGTTCAAAAACTGCAACTTATCTCCACCCCTCCTTCAAAGTGCAGGCACTCTTCTTCCCAGCTCCAGGACTCAAGTCTGGCTAACTGGTTTCCCTGAATCCCTTCATAAATGTTACTTTGCTCACACTCCAACAGCACATCAAGTCATAAAAAACCATTTGCCTCATCTCACTCCTGTCTAACATGCTTACACATGTTTGCTGGAAGTCTAAGCCCCTCTCTCAGAGAAAGTGCTTCTCAAATTGTAATGCTTTTCCAAGTGTTAAAGATCTTGGATGTTTTTCGGTTTCAGCATCTCAAATATTTATAGATACATCACCTGGATAATTCCAAGTTTTTTTTTTAATTTGCACTTCCTTAATTTTTTGCCCTGTATGCCTTGAGCTATATTTTAATAAAAAAAAATCATTTTTCAGATAAGTTGTGACTTGGCTGCTAGAAGAAAAGGATTTATGGGAGAATATTTCATAACACCACCTGTCGATATATCTATAGAATTTTCTGTACCTATTGACATTGGTCATATTAAACTGGGAGCTAGACTAGAACACATGTGTAGCACTGGCTTCTCTGTATTCACTGCACCTGAGGAAGTCACACAGTGCCATCAACACTCTAAAGAGTGTGATGAATACCCTCTATCAACAAGTTTTGAATCATGTTCCCCGGTATCTCTCTATACATCTGGACCATCATCTGTCCACTCCACAAGTCTGTACTCCAAAAATGCATCATCTGATTTTGTGAATAGAAAAGCACAGTCATCAGAAAATAGAGATGACAAAATTGATGGCATACAGTTTTGTGTTGGCAAGTATTATACACAAGGTGAAGATCATATTTACTTGAGGAACCCTTATTATAAACATTGGATGAATATTTCTTTACCAGCAATTAATGAGGGAAGCAACGGGTCAAGCATTTATAATGGTTCTCTCAGACATTCAAACAGACAAGCCCTTAGATGCGTGAAGAACGTAGTAATAAAAATTTTACAAACATCTGTGAAAGGTCCACCAGTTTTGTGCTTTGTTGAAATTTGGGGACAGCCAGGTATAAGTACTGGAAAAATTGAAAGGAAAGAGCTACTTCAAAAATGGGCTAGCCGGAAGAAAATTGAAGCTTCTTTGCCACTTGTGCCACGAATGTACAATTCAGACCCAGAGGAAAGCAAGACAGAAACTCCCATCAGTGAAACTTTACGCATACAAGGTAAATAAATAAATGTATTCAGGTATACACAAATACAGTTACATAAGGGGTGTTAATGTTGCACTTTTATAACTATAGTGTAAGCTCACTTCTGGCAAGACTAATGGAGTGAATGAAAGTTTTTCTCTTTAGGGCCACCCTGCCTTGGTGGGAGACAGCCAGCGTGTTAATAATAATAAAAAAGATTATCATACATAGCAACATATGTGTAGAGAACCTAGGATAACCCAAAAAGTCAGACAAAGTGACTTACAGTATTTCCATTGGGGTCCAGTACAGTATAATTAATGAAGTAACTTACTCTTAACAAATTGCACAACTATCTACCCATAACAAATTTTCCAACCACATATATTTTAAACATTTTATGTAATTTGTAATCAATTACTTTGGAATTATTTCCCATGGCCTTGTTCATATTTGTATGGATTTTCTCAAGTTCATTAGTCATGTTAGAAAATGTAAATCCAGTGGACCCTCGAATTTAGTAGTGCCTTTTCTGTATGCAAAACTATTTTTATTATCTATAAAATGTATGTTTTGTTAATATTTCCCAAAGGAAATAATGTAAATCCAATTAACCCCTTCAGGGTCCAAGGCCCAAATCTGAAGTGGTGCCCCAGTGTCCAAGAATTTTCCAAAAAAAAATTTGTTATTTTTTCTTATGAAATGGTAGAGAATCTTTTTGTGAAGGTAATAAAACAAAAAGTACGAAATTTGATGGAAAATTGACGAAATTATGCTCTCGCGAATTTTGATGCATCAGCGATATTTACGAATCAGCGATTTTGCCGACTTTGACTCCCATTTTAGGCCAATTACATTATTCCAGTCAACCAAATTCTTAGCTATTTCACTAGTATTACTTCTATCGATTGAGCACAAGAAATCGCCAAGTCAATTGTTTCAACTACAAATTAAAGTGATCGGAAAATGTTAATTTGGCCAATTTAACACAAAGTTCAAAATATTCCAATTTCAAAATAGGTCCAGAATAAACAGTGTAGGTATTCCTTGAACTAAACTAACATTTCCTCTGTTCATTAGTTACGTTTTGAGGCTTTACAAATAAATTCCATTTTGATTTTTTATTCACATAATGAATTTTTATTCACACCAAAAAATAGAAGATTTACTGTTATGCAATACTGTAATAATTGTATAAATATCATCACCATATTTGTAATGCATATTAGACCCACCAGCTGGCGTGTATTAGACGTGTGAGGTCGTTTGTTTACTCTTGAATATCGGCAAAAATTTAACATTTCTGCTACTTTGAGCTCAGTTTCAAACCATTTACAGTGCTAAAACCAATCAAAATCATCTCTATTTCTGTAATATGTCTTCCATTCTATCAAATGAGACCAAGAAATCGCAAATAGAACTATAAAAAAACATACGAAAAAACACTGCAAAGTCGCTGTTTTAATCGAAAAATCATGATTTCAGTTTTTTTCTCTCATTATACACAGCGTGCTGCAGGATCTGTTTTATGTGGTGCACACATACCACATAGATGTATTCTCTCATATCTAGGCCCAAATGTACCACTCACAGTTTATCAGAGTGAGCTGAGCTCATGACGTAGATCTACGGTTTGGACCCTGAACGTAAAGCCGTAGATCTACAGCACGGACCCTCAAAGGGTTAAACCATTCCAGACACCCAAAAATATTAACAAACAATACATTTTATAGATAATAAAAATAGTTTTGCATACAGAAAAGGCACTATTAAATTTGAGGGTCCACTGTATTATCTTGGTTTCAAGCAGAAATACATTTTTCTTGTAAAATATATTTTGTCAGTGCTGCAGCATATATTTATTGACCTCTGTTGGGTCATCATTTTTTGTAGATTGGTGTAACCCTAGCTAGTTTATACAGTGGACCCCCGCTTAACGATATTATTTCAATCCAGAAGTCTGTTTGGGTGCTGTTATAGACCGAATTTGTTCCCATAAGAAATATTGTGAATTAGATTAGTCTGTTTCAGACCCCCAAAAATACACCTACAAAAGCACTTACAAAAATACACTTACATAATTGGTCGAGTTGGGAGTTGATGGTTATGCGGGGGTCCACTGTATTAGGGAAAGTTTTGGTTTTAATTGATTAATTGAACACTGCTGCAGTAGTTGGTTATAAAACTGAGCATTTTTCTTGTATATTAATGGTGATGTTTGTCTGCTTTTTTTTTTTTTTTTTTTCAGTAACATAATTATTGAATTAATCTCTGTTAACTTAGTTGATGATGGGTATAGTGAGCTCGGATGGTTATCAGAGGTAATCTCTAACTTAGCCAACAGAGTTTGGGATTTTGCCTTATCAAGAAAAATTCATATAATTTATTTTCTGTCTCAGAGGCTATGGATTTGATGAGCTTATTTGGGGCCAATATTTCAGAGAGTGTTTTCCAGTTTTTTTTTTATATAACTCCTTCAATTTGACTGAATCTTTTGTATAATATGTGTAGTTATTTTGATTTCTTTATGAGCTTTGTGAATATAATAATATATGTTTTTGCTAGTTCTTGAAATATTAAGCCCAGTCTGTATTGCTTCTCATAGTTACGTTATTTGTCCGTGGACCTGAAGAGGCCATTATTTTTTGTCACTTGTTTGGTTTTTAATGAACAATATCTATTGTAGAAGCTTTATACTGTTGGAAGAAGCTCATGAATACTTGAGTTAAGGTCTTGGTCACTGTGAAATATTCCTTGCCAGTCAATGTTGCTGACTACTATGATAAAGTTATTTACAGATGCCTCTTCATAGAGCCTGAAGGAGATTTTACTAGTTTCAGGGGGTTACTTTTTTAAATTGGCAACTTGGAAGATAGTGATTAGTATTACTGTCTTTGATATTGCCCACTGTCAGAGGTGCTGGTATATTTACACATATGTGGTCAAGTGAAGTTGCTATTGTCTCAATTTTTTTTTGTAGGTTTGGTTATTGAAGGTATTAGAAGTCTTTCTTTCAACACACCAGCCGTATCCCACCAAGGCAGGGTGGCCCAAAAGGAAAAACAAAAGTTTCTCCTTTTACATTTAGTAATATATACAGGAGAAGAGGTTACTAGCCCCTTTGCTCCTGGCATTTTAGTTGCGTCTTAAAACACGCATGGCTTATGGAGGAAGAATTCTGTTCCACTTCCCCATGGAGATAAGAGGAAATAAACAAGAATAAGAACTAGAAAGAAAATATAAGAAAACCCAGAGGGGTGTGTGTATATATATGCTTGTACATGTATGTGTAGTGTGATGTAAGTGCAAGTAGAAGTAGCAAGACGTACCTGAAATCTTGCATGTTTATGAGACAGAAAAAAGACACCAGCAATCCTATCATCATGTAAAACAATTACAGGCTTTTGTTTTACACTCACTTGGCAGGACGGTAGTACCTCCCTGGGTGGTTGCTGTCTACCAACCTACTACCAAGGAAAAATAATAATTAATTTCATTATTATATTGGTCCAGAAAAAACAAACCATACAATGGGCGGGGTTAGAACCCGCGATCAGAGAGTCTCTGGTATGGTTTGTTTGCAATTGTGTCATTACGATTTCATGGGTTATATTGGTCCAGATATGATCAACTGAGTATGTACTTGTCTCAGAAATTCTTATAGGCTTAGTTATAGTTGGTTTTAGAAATCAATTGTACATGTTAACTTTCATTGTCTCATAGGTAGACTTACATTACTGAGGCCAGTGTCACTCACATAGATATACATTTTAAGCACAGTGCTCGCAAATATGCTGTGAATGGTAAATTTTGGCATAGACTTGGGAGAATGGGTCTTTGCAGTGAGAGTACACATAATAAAAATCCTGCCCCATGAGGTGCATGATGGGAAGAGCAAAGTTTTGACCTTGTATTTGGTTTAAAATAGCAACTTTGACTTGTTTCCTAGAATACTTTTTATGATTTTATTGGCTGATTATTTTTTTTTTTTTGTATCAGTTGATAAAATGTAATACATACTACTGTATTGAAATAGAGATGATTTTCGTCAGTTTCAGGACCAGAAGTAGTTTTTAATAGGGCTCAGATTGGCGGAAATATTTGATTTTTGATGATTTAACCGAGGAAAGTACAACCTCTCCTGTCTTTCCACTGGTCTGCTTTGTGGGATTTTTCTAGGTCTGTTTCAATTATTGGGATGTCATAAACCATGACCAGTCATTCATGCTTATATTTTATAAGCCACGAAATAAGATAAAACTTGTTTGTTTTTTGTGATAATAGGTAACTAGAGGACAAGTGTAATATAGGAGAGACCTGGGATGTCATTAATGAACAAATAATGGATCACTTTAGTGGCTGGAATGCATACAGTGTTGATTTTGGATTCTGTTATGTAATTAGAATTTGCTGAATTTTGTATAAATTATGAGCACACTGGCCGATTCCCACCAAGGCAGGGTGGCCCGAAAAAGAAAAGCTTTCATCATCATTCACTCCATCACTGTCTTGCCAGAAGGGTGCTTTACACTACAGTTTTTAAACTGCAACATTAACATCCCTCCTTCAGAGTGCAGGCACTGTACTTCCCATCTCCAGGACTCAAGTCCGGCCTGCCGGTTTCCCTGAATCCCTTCATAAATGTTACTTTGCTCACACTCCAACAGCACGTCAAGTATTAAAAACCATTTGTCTCCATTCACTCCTATCAAACACGCTCACTCATGCCCGCTGGAAGTCCAAACCCCTTGCACACAAAACGCCCTTTACCCCCTCCCTCCAACCTTTCGTAGGGCGACCCCTACCCCGCCTTCCTTCCACTACAGACTGATACACTCTTAAAGTCATTCTGTTTCGCTCCATTCTCTCTACATGTCCGAACCACCTCAACAACCCTTCCTCAGCTCTCTGGACAACAGTTTTGGCAAACCCGCACCTCCTCCTAACTTCCAAACTACGAATTCTCTGCATTATATTCACACCACACATTGCTCTCAGACATGACATCTCCACTGCCTCCAGCCTTCTCCTCGCTGCAACATTCATAACCCATGCTTCACACCCATATAAGAGTGTTGGTAAAACTATACTCTCATACATTCCCCTCTTTGACTCCAAGGACAAAGTTCTTTGTCTCCACAGACTCCTTAGTGCACCGCTCACCCTTTTCCCCTCATCAATTCTATGATTCACCTCATCTTTCATAGACCCATCCGCTGACACGTCCATTCCCAAATATCTGAATACATTCACCTCCTCCATACTCTCTCCTTCCAATCTGATATCCAATCTTTCATCACCTAATCTTTTTGTTATCCTCATAACCTTACTCTTTCCTGTATTCACTTTTAATTTTCTTCTTTTACATCTCCTACCAAATTCATCCACCAACCTCTGCAACTTCTCTTCAGAATCTCCCAAGAGCACAATGTCATCAGCAAAGAGCAACTCTGACAACTCCCAATTTATGTGTGATTCTTTATCTTTTAACTCCATGCCTCTTGCCAAAACCCTCGCATTTACTTCTCTTACTACCCCATCTATAAATATATTAAACAACCATGGTGACATCACACATCCCTGTCTAAGGCCTACTTTTACTGGGAAATAATCTCCCTCTTTCCTACATACTCTAACTTGAGCCTCACTATCCTCGTATAAAATTGGCCAAATTACCAACTTATGTGCTTTCCTGTGATTTCTTGTACTCATGCAATAGGACAGAAGAAATGATCAAAGGGATTGACTTTAAATTGTACTCAAAGTAGGCAAAATTGCTGATACATACACTGCTCAGTCTGTTAACTTTGTGCCTGCATAGTTCTACAAATTTCAGATTTTTACCCTATTTCTTGGATAATCACATACAACTAGGAATGATTGGTCATGGTTTAGAGCATCCCAGTGATTGAAGCAGACATAGTAAAAACCTATAAAACAGACTGGGGAAGTATGGGTACCTTGCCTGTCCTCAGGAAAACTAATATTTCCTTTGCTTTGAGCCTGATTTCAGTCTATTTCTGGTTCTGAAACCTACACTAATATGTCTTTCAGTTTATCAAATGATACCAAGAAATAGCCACTAAAACCATGAATACCATCCCAGAAAACTCCTTGGTGTTGCTATTTTAAACCAAATGCTAGGTTAGAGATTTGCTTTTCCTATCATGCACCACCTAGGGCAAGATCTTTTCTTATAATATACTCACTGCAAAGACAAATTCTCTCATATCTAGGCCAAAATTTACCCCTCACAGCTTATTTGAGTGAGCTGATCTCAAAACGTAAATCTACGCAAGTGATGCTGGTATTATTAAAGTATGTACGTAGATCCATGTGAGAAACAGTGAAAGGGTTTGTTTTGGGGTCCTGACAGTGAAGGGGTTAATGAATGTGTGTTTTTCAGACTCACTGGAAATACCAGAGGACTTCCTTGACCCCCTGACCTGTGAAGTGATGACAGTGCCGTTACTCCTACCCTCGGGTCACTCCATAGATGCTCACACCCTTGACAGGTTACTTACAAAATCTTTTTTTGTCAACAATATTCTTTCAGTGAAAGGGTGCCTTCATTCCCTCATTACCACCAGTGAAAGATCTTGATACTTAGAAATGGAGCTGGGCTCCACTCCCGGGATCAAACTTAATCACCTCTTATTTCTCAGATGCTGTATGACTCGTACAAGTTTAGTGTTTAGCAATAATAATGATAGTAATAATGATAATAGTTATAATAATAATGTAACTTCAGTTAATAAGCACACAAGGGTTAATTTATATATATTTTATTGAGTACTTGCCTTCATTGGAGGTGCCTTGGCACCAGTGAAGGTCTCTTGATCCAAGGAATTGGAGTTACCCACCACTTGGATCAAACCCAGGTGCCTCCAGTTCCTTATAGCCCGAGTGCTGTATGAGTTTAGTGCTTCCCCTTAAATATAATAATCACAACCGTTGATTATTTTCTTGCTTATGCTGCAAGAATAGTAAAGTGTAGAGTTGCAGTGTTCTTTATTGATCCACATCTGTTATTAATGTAGAGTTGCAGTGCTTTATTGATGCACAACTTTTATTAGTAAAAATGATACAAGAATGAGGCACTAAGGAATATTTGTGAAAATTCTTCCTCTTTCAACAAACCGGCCATATCCCACCAAGGCAGGGTGAGGCAAAAAGAAAAATGAAAGTTTCTCTTGTTAACTTTAGTAATGTATACAGGAGAAGGGGTCACTAGCCCCTTGCTCCTGGCATTTTAGTCGCCTCTTATGACATTTGTGACTTATGGAGGAAGAATTCTGTTCCACTTCCCATGGAAATAAGAGGAAAAAAACAAGAACAAGAACTAGTAAGAACATAGAAGAAAACCCAGAGGGATATGTGTATGTATGCTTGTACATGTATGTGTAGTGTGACCTAAGTGTAAGTAGAAGTAGCAAAACATACCTTAAATCTTTCATGCTTATGAGATAGAAAAAAGACTCCAGCAATCCTACCATCATGTAAAACAATTACAGGCTTCCATTTTACACTCGCTTGGCAGGACAGTAGAGCCTCCCTGGGCAGTTTCTGTCTAATTTGTAAGAATTATTAATATTATATTAAGTTATGGTGAAAGTTAAGAAATTTTTGAAGCATTAAGAAACTATTTAAGATTTGCCTAATCTGAGTAGAATTGAACAGAACATAATTTTGTACAATGCTTTAATAAGACATACTTCTTGTTAACCATACATTTTGGTGATATATGTATAGTTTCTGATGCTTTGATGAGCTCTACATGGTTATGAATCATCATAACTAATAGGAAAGAAGTATATGAACCTTACTATTACAACATATAGGAAGGAGATAACTTAGATACATCCTTCTTCATAGCCTCATATACCTTGATGCATCTGGGAAATTCGTTAATTTGAATGAGAAAAAGTTAACTCATGAGAAGAGGTTAAGCCATACTTTTCAGATGTAATGGGATAGATTCTAATATAACATTCCAACATCCCACCAACAGTTAACACTTAAACTATCAGTCAGTCACATAGACCTACATGATTAGGATCAGTGTCAGTCCCATAGACCTTCCCATATATCCTAGCCCTCTTCAAAATTGTCTTGAGAGGCCTAGGCATGAGGAAACAGGTCTGCTTGTACAGTATACAAAAACAGAAGTTAGTATCCCCTTGCTCCCACCATTTTAGTCACCTCTTGTGACACACACAGCTTACAGAGGAAGGATTCTCCACTTCTCCATGGAGAATATACGTACAGTTTATATAAAGCATACAAAGTAGTAGGTTGATAGACAGCAACTGCCCACAGAGGTACTACCATCCTGCAGAGTGAGTGTAAAACAAAACCCTCTAATTGTTTTACATGATGGTAGGATTGCTGGTGTCTTTTTTTCTGTCTCATAAACATGCAAGATTTCAGGTACGTCTTGCTACTTCTACTTACACTTACATCACACTACACATGCATGTACAAGCATATATATACACACCCCTCTGGGTTTTCTTCTATTTTCCTACTAGTTCTTGTTCTTGTTTATTTCCACTTGATCTCCATGGGGAAGTGGAACAGAATTCTTCCTCCGTAAGCCATGCATGTCGTAAGAGGCGACTAAAATGCCAGGAGCAAGGGACTAGTAACCCCTTCTCCTGCATATATTACTAAATTTTAAGAGATTAAAATTAAGATGTTTATTTTGACATGATACATGGTTGTACAGAGGAATATAATAGTTGGGTGTACATGCCAAAAGCCCCTTTGTATACAGAGCATTTCAGGCAAACTTAAAGATTAACTTAAGATTAGGAAGGCAATAATAGTTCATATGGTCATTAGATGAGTTATGAGTTACAGTAAGTACAAGAGAATTGAATATTCTATTAGGTAATGCTACATGGCTTTGATGAGTCTAGTAGAGAATTATTAGTTTATAAAGATGACAGTATTACAAGGGAACAAGTTAAAACAATTTATAATATGATGTATTACAGCTTAGTACTATTTAAAACAATGAAAATTGGTATTACATGGAACAATTTAAAAACAATTTACATTATGATGTATTACAATTTAGTACTGTTTAAAACAATGAAATTTAGACATCCTAATTTTGAAATAGTGAGTAAGTGGTTGAGCATTCATCAGCACAGTGTGAGTAGCGTTTGAATAACTGGTAGTGATTAGGTACGGTTTGTCTGGTTAATTTTGTGTGATGAGGTGATTTCTTAGTAGGGCCTTAAACTGATTTGCAGATAGAGGTCCTTTAGCGTTCTGGCAATGAATTCCAGATCTTTGGGCCAATTACGTGCATAGCATTTTTGCATAGGGAGAGATGGACACGAGGGATATCGAAGAGTGATTTGTGTCTCGCATTATGGTTGTGTGTTCTGTTATAGTTATGAAGGAGGAGTTTGAGAGGAGGGTTTACATTTGAGTATAGTGTTCTGTGTATGTAGTAGGCACAATAATAAGTATGGATGTTTTGTATATTAAAGAGAAACTTTCATTTTTTCTTTTTGGGCCACCCCGCCTCGGTGGGATATGGCCGGTGCGTTGAAAGAAGAAAGTAGTAGCATACAGTACATATAAAAAGTCAGGCACTAGACTCGTCAGTCTACTGTGATAATACAGCAAGAAACTGGCACTCCAGGATGACATTTTCCTTATCAAGAGATGAGAAGCAGAACAAAAAACTTGGTAATCAGATGCAAATGAGACATAAGCGTGTCAAGGTGCCTCCTATGATGGCAGTCATATAATAACAGCGAGACAAGTCAACACTCATGATCTGGAAAAATAATGAGGCACTAAAGCCAGCTCTTGTACTAGCTCCAGCTCCAGACAGCTTGTCCATCTTGTTTGTGAGAAGATGCTGTAACACACAGACATGGAGGGACCCAAAAGAGCCACAAAAGTAATTTTTTTTGACTAACATAATAAAAAGAGCACACCTACACTTAAATATATCATGCATACCTTCCTGGACTTTTGCATCAGTGAAGGATATTAACCTCTACCTCAACATATAAATATGTATCCTGACACCGCAACATTCAGCTCAAACCCATCTCCATCAAAGTCGGACAACTGGAAAGGAGTGTTCAGCAAAAACAAGAGTGAATACAATACAAAATGCATTATGTACACAGGTATGCCACACGCACTATGTTCTCCAAGCCTTTTGTATTATTATAATCATAACTGAGCACTAAACCCACAAGGGCCATACAGTGGCTGAGCCTTTTATATACTACATACTTCACTTTTAATTTATGAGGCTAAAGAGACAAAGCCAATAAACTCTGATTGTGGTGTCTCATTCTGTCTAAAAAATGCAAAGGTTTGTGATCACTAAAGATAATTGCTGGATGTGAAGAAGAGCTTATATAAACTTCAAATTTTTGCATGATTAACACCAAAGTCAATGCTTCCTTGTCCACAGTTGCATAACTGCATTGGTGCTTTTTTCAGTTTAGCAGGTTTAATGGAAGGTTACCCTTCTCATTACTCTGCAATAGCACTGCACCCACTCCTGTATCGCTACCAGTGGCGGCTCGTCCATAGGAGCTGCAGTCCCCCCATATGCTCACTGCCAGATGTATGACTTCATCAACCTTACGCTAAAATAATTTGCAACTGACAAATATATTACAGGAAATATCTGTTGTATATTGTTTTCAGTGTACAGTGGACCCTTGGTTTTTGTGTTTAATCCGTTCCAGAGCCATCGGCCAAAACCGAAACCATTTTCCTCATAAATAGTGTAAATGGAATTAATTTTTTTACCTTAAATATACATTTACATGCACAAAAGAATGAACACTAAACATGACACTTACCTTTGTTGAAGGCTGTTGATACTGGAAGGAAAGCAGGGAGGAAGGGAGAGGGAAGATAGGTTATTGTTTGGAAGGGGAATACCCCTCTGTAAGGACTCTAGGTACCAAGTCCTTATCTGGGATCACTTCCCTCCTTTGTTTTTTACTATCACTAGGGCCAGCTTGAGAGTCACTGGAACCTTGTCACACAAAATATCTGTCCAGATAGGTCTGTTTCTGGCGTCTCTTTAAGATTTTCCTAAAATGGGACGTGGCATTGTCATTGTAAAAGTCACCCGCACGGATTGCAGCAGCTTTCTCAGGGTGATGTTCCTCCACAAATGAATGCACTTTAGTCCACATTGCACAAATCTCCTTAATCTTTGAAGAAGGCACCTTCTTCCATCTCTCTTCCTCCTCCTCTGAAGCAATTTTCTCAGCTGTGGTCTGTTGCTGTTGCAGATGAAGCTCTTGCAGCTCATCAGTGGTTAGCTCTTCATTGTGGTCCTCCACCAACTCTTCCACATCCTCCAAACTCACATCCAACCCCATGGAATTCCCCAATGCCACAATTGATTACACAACAGGTGTAGGGTTAACAGGATCTCTGTTTGGTTATTGCATTCACCCCTTTCGCAACATCAGCTTCCATGGTTTCTTTTCTCTTTGTCACAATGGAGCTGATTGTTGATGGCAGCTTCCGTACATCCTGCTGAGTTCAGCAGTGCGTATGCCACTATCATATTTTCTTAAATTTCTTTTTTCAGTTCTACGGTGTTCCTCACCTTCTTTACCAGTGCACTGGTACTAGGAGCTTTCTTTGGGACCATGGTCACTTATTTAGCAGTCACACATGATAAACAAGTGGCAAAAACAATAGATTATTAGGAATGTTTTGTATAACCTGGCAGGATATGCTCACTGACCGAGAAACAACTCTACACTGGCTGAGAATGCATGTGGGGGGGGGGGGGCTTAGTCTGCGTGCTGGGACTGGACAGGTTCCATACGATTAATGAAAACTAAAGCCAAAAATCGACGAAAAAAGTCGGCCAAAACCGAAATCGGCGATAACTAAGATCAACAAAACCCAAGGGTCCACTGTATTTGTAAACAATTTTTTTATTTTTTTGTTGAAACGAGGTAAAAAAATGTTTAAAAATAGAAGTTAGATGCATTACGATAGTATAGGTATTACTGGCGTTACAAGCCACCACTGATCACTACCATCAACTTGCAGGATAAAGTGGTAGTTATAACAGGATTTTAAAAATAGGGGCACTTCTAAGTAAGAGTTACACATTCTCAAATGTCCTTTGAAGCTTGTTGTGGTACCTCATCTGCCACAGTCAGTACCTCATCTACCACAGTATTGATTGTATTATATGTAATATGCATCTGTAGAATTTAGCGACATTTTCAATTTAAAACATAACCTCAACAAATGAGTAATGTGAAATAATAAAAGGAGGTCTGATAGCACTATCATAAAGAGAAAAAATTATGAATGATTACTAGAAAATTGTTTTGTCAGAGAATATTATACACAAGGACACCGTAAGTCCTACAACTTTGGGAAAATTAAGCAAACTTTGATACAACTTTGGGAAATTTAAACAAACTGTGAGGGAAAAGTTCAATAGATAGGAGTAGAGAGGGAATATATATATATATTAACAATAGTTTCATTGCCGGCTACTCGTTAAGGTAGGGTCAGTCTAGCTCCCGATATTCCCGCTTTTTCTCCCCCAACCCCTAAATTGATAGTTTGTCTGCCGGCTACTAGTTAAGGTAGGGTAAGTCAAGCTCCCATTTTTCCCGCCTTTTTCTCCCCCTCCCTGAAAGTGATAGTTTGACTGCCGGCTGCTTGTTAAGGTAGGGTCAGTAGCTCCCGCTATCCCTTCCCCTCCCTCTTCCCCCCCCCGATAGGTGATGTGTGGGGCTCTGGTTAAACAGTAAATCACTAGACTCACAGCTCCCAACTCTACTGTAAGTACATGCCTGCCTTGTATTCTAGTGGATTTATTGGTTGAAAGCTTCACTTTTGATCAATAATAAACTTAGTCTTTTCAGCCTTGCTCTATGTTGACTGTTGTAATAATCACCACATCTTTTAAGTATCACTTACCATGGAGAGTGATTATTTAAGCAGTGGGTAACCTGTCTATCTTTCCAGCTTGGATGTCAGAGAGGGTCACCTGGCAATCAACGAGTAGAACAGGAGAAGGACTAACGTCCAGAGACTTCTCCAGATTGTATTGAAGCACCTGTGCACCTGTATGAAATTGCAGGACGTAACTCCACAGCATTGCAGTGGTAAAGAACCTGCTTTCCTGTCTTCGGGATAGAATACTCACTGGTATACTGTGAACAACTAGCCAGTGGTGGTCACCAACACCTGCGACCCCCCCCCCATCATCAGCAACGGCTACGATTTCAACAACAGTGTCACCAACACCAGACACCCACGTTTTATATACATTTAAATTAGCATTGAATTCAGTTATCATTTATATTTTTCATTTTTCATATTCTTTAATGTAGGATTAATATTTCATATTTAAGTGTTTTAAATTTTATATTTTCTATATAATAAAGTGTTTATGTTTGTCTGTTATTATTTCTTTTTCTATTCACTAATTTTCCTGAGGAGGAGCCAGCCTGAGTAATACTGACTGAAGTTGTTACAGGGCTGAGTAAGCCTTCAGGAAATTTAAACAAGCTTTAATACTTGTAGATTTCACAGAAGACCAGTCAGCTGATTAAACAAATAAACAAGCTTTATTTCTATAAAGTGGAGTACAATATATTATACAATCAGTGTCGTTGACAAACGTATATAAACTGCTTTATAGAAAGCCCCTTGTTATGCAAGGCATTTCAGGCAGCTTTTAAACTATTATGATTACAAGTATATGAGAATAAGAATAAGTAGTTTTTTATATTGGAGGTATTTAGTAATTCAATAAAAAGTTATAATTAGTGATATGCAGTGGACCCCCGCATAACGATATTATTTCAATCCAGAAGTCTGTTTGGGTGCCGTTATAGACCGAATTTGTTCCCATAAGAAATATTGTGAATTAGATTAGTCCATTTCAGACCCCTAAAAATACACCTACTAAAAGCACTTACAAAAATAAACTTACATAATTGGTCGAGTTGGGAGCTGATCGTTATCCGGGGGTCCACTGTATTAAGGATGAAGCTAAGTACATAAGATGAAGGGATGATAGAGAAGGACAGGGACAATATAGGTTGAAAGAACTTTTCAGCATAATATAATGTTAGAATTACATTAAGGAAAAGAGGCATTTTTTAGTAGCTTTGGAATGGTTGTCTGATAGACTTTTCATCTTCATCCTTCACATGTGCCAAACATGAATTTGATTTTAAAATATATTTTCATTTGCAGGTTTGCTGCCAATGAGGCCATATGGGGACGTACAGCTTCAGATCCTTTCACAGGTGTTCCATTCAAAGCAGGATTAAAACCAATTCCTAATGTTCCTCTGAAAGCACGAATTGACAGGTGAGATGCCAAAATCCAATATTAGTGATTCAAGCAAAACATTCAATAAGTATTTATAATAATTTTCATTTTGTGGTAAAATTAACTTTTTTTTAGTAATACAGCCTCTCCTCACTTAGTGACATACTTGTTTACCGATGACTCGGACTTATGACTGGCTCTCTGTTAGTATTATTGCATAGACCAAGTATTTACAGTGAAACATATAGTTGAACAGTATTTAGCTAAGGCTAAAGAGGTTTTTGTGGCATTTATGGATTTGGAAAAGGCATATGACAGGGTGGATAGGGAGGCAATGTGGCAGATGTTGCAGGTGTATGGTATAGGTTACTGAAAGCAGTGAAGAGTTTTTACGAGGATAGTGAGGCTCAGGTTAGAGTATGTAGGAAAGAGGGAGATTATTTCCCAGTAAAAGTAGGCCTTAGACAGGGATGTGTGATGTCACCGTGGTTGTTTAATATATTTATAGATGGGGTAGTAAGAGAAGTAAATGCGAGGGTTTTGGCAAGAGGCGTGGAGTTAAAAGATAAAGAATCACACATAAAGTGGGAGTTGTCACAGTTGCTCTTTGCTGATGACACTGTGCTCTTGGGAGATTCTGAAGAGAAGTTGCAGAGGTTGGTGGATGAATTTGGTAGGGTATGTAAAAGAAGAAAATTAAAGTGAATACAGGAAAGAGTAAGGTTATGAGGATAACAAAAAGATTAAGTGATGAAAGATTGGAGGGAGAGAGTATGGAGGAGGTGAATGTATTTCAGATATCTGGGAGTTGACGTGTCAGCGGATGGGTCTATGAAAGATGAGGTGAATCATAGAATTGACGAGGGGAAAAGGGTGAGCGATGCACTTAGGAGTCTGTGGAGACAAAGAACTTTGTCCTTGGAGGCAAAGAGGGGAATGTATGAGAGTATAGTTTTACCAACGCTCTTATATGGGTGTAAAGCATGGGTGATGAATGTTGCAGCGAGGAGAAGGCTGGAGGCAGTGGAGATGTCATGTCTGAGGGCATTGTGTGGTGTGAATATAATGCAGAGAATTTGTAGTTTGGAAATTAGGAGGAGGTGCGGGATTACCAAAACTATTATCCAAATGGCTGAGGAGGGGTTGTTGAGGTGGTTCAGACATGTAGAGAGAATGGAACTAAACAGAATGACTTCGAGAGTGTATAAATCTGTAGTGGAGGGAAGGCGGGGTAGGGGTCGGTCTAAGAAAGGTTGGAGGGAGGGGGTAAAGGAGGTTTTGTGTGTGAGGGGCTTGGACTTCCGGCAAACATGCATGAGCATATTGGATAGGAATGAATGGAGACAAATGGTTTTTAATACTTAACGTGCTGTTGGAGTGTGAGCAAAGTAACATTTATGAAGGGATTCAGGGAAACTGGCAGGCCAGACTTGAGTCCTGGAGATGGGAAGTACAGTGCCTGCACTCTGAAGGAGGGGTTGTTAATGTTGCAGTTTTAAAACTGTAGTGTAAAGCACCCTTCTGGCAAGACAGTGATGGAGTGAATGATGGTGAAAGTTTTTCTTTTTCGGGCCACCCTGCCTTGGTGGGAATTGGCCGATGTGTTAATAAAAAATAAAAATAAACCTAAATAATGTATATTAGAGCTGATTTCTTCTATTCTGTTTATTACATTATACAGAACACTATTGTATAAACATTTAAAAATATACCAGAAATGTTATAAATGATGCAAAGATGACATTAAAACAATATAAGATGGTTGACACAAACCCACTACCATTATAGTACAGTGGAACCTCAAATATCGAACTTTCTTCGGTCCAGAAGGCTGTTCGAGTGCCTTTACCGAATGAATTTATTCCCATCAGGAATAATGTAAATTAGATTAGTCCATTTCAGACCCTCAAAAATACACTTATAAAAGCACTTACAAAAATACACTTACATAATTGGTCGTGTTGGGAGCAGTTCGATTTTTGAGGTTCCACTGTACACTCTTCACTTAGTGACGAATTCATTTACTGACATGGTTGGTAAACAAATCCTGACCCCACACGGTGCATGACAGGGAAAGCAAACCTCTGACCTTGTGTTTGGTTTCAAATAAATTTTAGGTGTTTTCTGGGATGATTTTCATTGTTTTACTGGCTGTTTCTTGATATTATTTGATAAAATGAAGGACTTACTAGTGAAATAGCAATGATTTTGATTGGTTTCAGGATCAGAGGCAGCTTGAAATAAGGCTCAAAATAGCAAAAATATTTGCTTGTTTTTTTAATATTTTCCTGAGATAGGGTAAGGCCTCTCTTCCCTATCCCCCCTTCCTGCCTGTTTATGGGACTTCAGTGGTCCTGCTTCATTATTGAGATGCTCTAAATTTGTTGTGTAAAATTGGCCAAATTACTGACTAGTGTGCACTTTGTTGGGTAGTTTTGAAAGGATAAAATGAGTGGTTTCTTGTGCTCAGTCTATAGAAAGGAAGGCATACTAACAAAATAGCTAAGAATTTGGTTAAATTGGCTTAAAATGAGACTCAGAGTTTTCAAAGTCACCAATGCATAAATTGTGCTCAGGCTCCCAACTTTGTGCCATTGTAATTCCGTAAGTTTTCCATCAAATTTTGTATTATAGGTGTCATGCCTTGGAAAAATTCTCTACCATTTTGATTTTTTTAAATTATGACATTGTCAGCACTTTTAATTTTGGTGGTCACAACAGTGAAAGGATTAAGCTTCCATGAACCATAACAGGAATAATAAATTATTTATTTATTCTCTATAACCCCAGTAATGTTTTTCATAAACCATTTTTATGCTTGTTATAACATCACATCTTCATTGTGTGAAGGTGCACGAGTACTACTTCTAGTGTCACCCTCCCTCGAAGGGAGGTTCCTTGATGCTGTTGAGGGATTCTTGATCTGAGTGTTTAAAACAATGCTCCAATTCCTTGAATCGAGCCTGAATGCCTTCCATTCCTCTAGACACACTATGAACATAGACTATGGGTTTAGCCTCCCCCCCCCCTTTAATATAATATCAAGATTAGGAGGAGGAAGAATGGAGGGAGTGAATGTGTTCAAATATTTGGGAGTGGACTTGTCAGCAGTTGGGTCTGTTAAAGACAAGGTGAACCATAGAATTGATGAGAAGGAGGGGGGATAAAACAGTGGGTGATCTGTAGGGACAGAGAACCTTATCCATGAAGGCAAAAAGAGAAATAGTGCTACCAGCACTCTTATATGGGTATGAATCATGGGTTTTAAACATTGCAGCAAGTAGAAGGCTGGAGGCAGTGGACACGTGTCTGAGGGTAATGTGTGGTGTGAATATTATGCAGAGAGTTCGTAGTTTGGAGATTAGAAAGAGGTACAGGGTTACTAAAATATTATTCAGAGGGCTGAGGAGGGGTTATTGAAATGGTTTGGACATTTAGAGAGAGTGTATAAGTGCATAACTGTTATTAAAATGTAACTTGTAAAGTATACATGAAATTATTTTATTAGAACACATCACCCTGCCTTGGTTTGAGACAGCCACTGTGTTAAAAAATATCAAGTGTAACATCATGTTAATATTAACCTCATTTTAACAATTGTTAAAATGAGTTTTTAACAAAAATCAATTAGTGACTGATTTCTTTTAGGACAATTCCTGGTCATTAATCTTGAATTACTGAGATACTGTTGTTGCTTTTTCTACAGTAATACAGATTATTTTGTATAAGCACCAAATGACCACCAGGTCTCAGCATTTGGAATATTTTACAAATAGATTAATCATAGCCAAATCTTTAACCTTCACTAGCTGCAATACTTATATTATTACAAGCCAAAATATTTGCTAATGTCATGCAACTCGGGTAAAAATAAAATGATAAGAAAGACTCGTGTATCTGCATGCTACTCAGAATGCTTAAGATATGATTCTGAAATTAAACATTAAATAATAAATTATTCATTATTGATGTTTTCATCTCTCAGGTTTCTGCTGTTACATACCAACCATCCAGAAGTTCACAGAACTGCTCGAACTGTTGGTTCTGCTCACAGTTTGAGCAGCCACTATAATTCAAGTCAAGACAAGTCAAAAGCTCAAGAACAAAACAGTTCATCTCTCACTTATAATAGAAAAAGAACAGTCAAAGATAAGATGCCAGATGAATTTGAGCATCATAAAAAAATTTTAAGAGGACATAATGATGGTGCAATAACTAGAGACCTAAAAGATATTTCCTCGGTTAGAGTGACAGCGATGTAAACAAAGTTGCTCAAGGCACAGCAGACACATTGCAAGCTGAAGTTGAAGCATTTTTACAGGGAAAACCAAAGTATGTTCCAACAGAGAAAAGTACCAGTAATCAAAATATTTGTGATAAGCAGGAAACTAAGAAAGTTGCTGATAATTTTCATTCAAAGTATCATTCATTAGTTGCTAAATCCAGTGCAAGTAAGTTTAGGTCACAAGCTTTGAATAGTACAGCTGCATTAATAAAGAGCCAAACACACGTCTCTTGGCATGGAAAAGGGATGTCAAATGGCAATCATGGTCTGGTACAGATGATTGGTGGGGCTTTATCTGTAACTCATGGGAGGACAGTACAGACAAGAAGTATTCCCATTCATAGATCAAGTTCAAAGCTAACTAGTCTAGTTCATGGTGATTGTAAAATGCCACACTTTGACCTCACCCCCCTCAGCTCTGCTAAGTGTTCATGTGGCAAGCAACAGGCACTGTATGATCTGTCCTGTCACCACGTTATGTGTCGAACCTGTTTACTACAAAATACTAACGGCCCACAAGTACAGTGTTGTGTATGTAAAAAAGTGTGTAAAAGGTTAGATGTTTCTAAGCATCATGAGAAAAGTATTTTTTCTTGATAGCCAAACATTTGTATATTGGTTGAAGAATGTGTGTGGGCTGACAAGTGGGGGTAGAAAAGCTATATATTGTAGCAATAGATCTTTTATTGTTACAGTGTTTCACTTACAAGAGGCTTTATTTATTTCCAAGATGTACATAATTAATGACTATGATATCAGCATACTTCTGGCAAGACAGTGGTTGAATGCATTTCCTCATTTTCAGGTTATCATGCATGGCAGGTATATTAAACAAAAAAATTATTTCACACATTTTAATTTGTTTATGTATATCATTACATGCAAGCTAAAACCAGAACTTAAAACTTCTTGACTTTGTATAGTTTGTTACTTTATTTGAATGATAAATTTAATATAATTAAGTTGTGTGGAATTAGCTACAAAAATTATAGTAACATATTTACATAGGACTTCCCTGGAGAATCCACTCTCTCCAGACATCCTTAGTACATGCCCATGTAACTCCCAACAAATTAGTATTATACCTCACTATAAGCCTATATATATCCTCTGTGTCGGTGTATTGTTTGTAACGGCTTGATAAAGCTCCTGGAGAGCGAAACATTGTCACAATAAAATATCACAGTAGTTGCATTTGTGTCCTTTTACTTAATAATAGTAACATTGAGGAGTCTGTTGATGTTGTTGGCCTCCCTTAATCTCAAGTTGTTGAGGTTCTGGAAATATAAACACATATGCAGTATAATGTGATCCTTTATTGACAACGTTTCACTCATACAGTGGGCTTTATCAAGCCACAAACAGATATACCTGGGTGGGAAATCGGGTTGAGAATGCTGCATGTGACAATCTACCGAGTAGGGTTATAGTCTAATGCAGTGTTATTCACTAATTTTTGCAAGAGAGCCACTTCGGTTAAATACATTGATTGAGAGAGCTGAAGCTACTGCAAGTTAGTATAACTCAATTAAATTAAGTAGTACTGAGCTGCTAGTGCAATATAGTAAATGAGAAAAAGTAGACATGAGCCGTGAATTGAGTCCTCGTGAGCCGCACAATGAATAACACTGGTCTAATGCCTTGGGTAGCTTGGAAGAGAGATTGGATATGTATATGAGTAGACTTTCTGCAGTGTTCCTCCATTCTTATGTGGGATAGCGATGAAGAAGTTTCTTGGCAAGGGGTTCAGCTACATTATAGAAGACGTTGTTGGATATAGAGATAAGTGATGATTCCAGGATTCTTCGGTATTGAGTGTTGTCTTCTCTGGCAATAAGTCTTGCGTTTCTGTAGTTGATTAAATGGTTGTGTAAATTTCGGTATTGAACACAGGCATTCTTTAAATTGTCAGATCTGCCTGCGTATTGGTGTTCTGAAATATATGTTTGGAGGTCTCTTGATGTTTGCCCACGTATAATTTGCTGCAGTCATTACAAGTTATTATGTATACCCCTCCAGAGGATGGAAGCTTGTCCTGTCTGTTACTGGTTATGTCCTTGATGATCGTGGTTGTGGAGGTAGAAACTGGGAATGAGGTTTTGGAAACCTGTTTGGCAATGGAGTTGGTGGGGAGGACTATATATCTCTTCTCTGGGTGTGTTGAAGATGCTTAATGCCTGTTGTCTGCAGTCTGTGATGAAGTGACGAGGATAGTGAAGAAACCTACCAACCAACACGATCTTCTCCACGACACCAAAATTAAACTTGGTGTAATTATAGGCTTTTTCCTGCATGCACTCAGAATCTGCAGCAATGAGTTCCTTGAAGAAGAATGCACTATAATTGAACAAGTATTTTCCAAACTTCACTATCCTTGTCACTTCATCAGAGACAACGGGCATTAAACATCTTCAACACACCCAGAGAAGAGATAGATGGTCCTCCCCACCAACTCCATTGGCAAACACATTTCCAGTACCTCATTCCAAGTATCTACCTCCATGACCATCAAGGACATTACCAGTAATAGACAGGACAAGCTTCCATCCTCTGCAGGGGTATTCATAATCCCTTGTAATGACTGCAGCAAATTGTGTGGGCAAAACATCAAGAGACCTCCAAACACGTATTTCAGAACACCAGTGTGCAGGCAAATCTGATGATTCAAGGAATGCCCGTGTTCAACACTGAAATTCACACAACCATTTAATCAACTACAGAAATGCAAGACTTATAGCCAGAGAAGACAGCACTCAATACCGAAGAATCTTGGAATCATCACTTATCTCTATATCCAACAGTTTGAACCAGAACAAAGGCTTCTATAATATAGTAAAAACCCTTGCCAAGAAAATTCATCGCTATCCCACATAAGAATGGAGGAACATTGCAGGTCTATTCATCCAATCTCTCTTCAAGCTACCCAAGGTATTAGACTCTATAACCCTACTCAGTAGATTGTCACATGCAGCATTCTCAACCTGACTTCATCCATAAATATTCATATACCTTCCACCCAGGTAGATCTGTTTGTGATTTGATAAAGCCCACTGTGTGGGTGAAAAGTTGTCAATAAAGGATATTATACTACATGTGTGTTTATATTTCATACCATTTATTTAGGTACTCTCTATAATCCTTAAATTTCTAGTGGACAATATAAAATTAGAATCTACTCCCTCATAGAAGCCCAGTAGAGTCAATTTTCAAATTCATCAACATTGACCAGGAGCCAGAGGTAAGAAATATTTATAACCTTCTAGTCATCAGCACTTTATTAAATTTAAAAAAAAATTATTTGCCATTTTCAAATATGACATATATATTACCTTCATTTTTAATTTTTGGATTAGATGCCATTCTCAAAATTTAATTTTCTTAATCAACATTCACTTGCATATATAATCTTGATCTTTTCAACAGACTTGTATACCTTGTACTTGTAGAAATAAAGATTTTATAACTGTTCAGACAAGTCATTATTAATAATGACAAACCTACATGAATTGTTTGTATTTAACACTTCTAGGCACTTTATTTATAACAAGACGGCCATCATAACTTAGAGATGCAAAGGTCCAGAAATCTGCAGCAGACCATTCAACAGCATATACAGAGTCTTCATGATCATCATATATCTGGATTACCCCTTCCTCTGTACTCTCACTTCTGAAAGAATTTAGAGGAATATCATTTTTATTAGTTATATACTTTGTTACTGCATTGCCCTTATGACTTTAGTATTTTCCATAAATGAGAAGTGGAGAAGAATCCTTCCTTTGTAAGAAGTGATCTAAATGCTGGGAGCAAGGGGCTAGTAACCCCTCCTGTAAAAATTGCAAATATGAAAAAATAATACAGTGGACCCCCGCTTAACGATCACCTCCCAATGAGACCAATTATGTAAGTGTGTATGTTTGGGGGTCTGAAATGGACTAATCTACTTCACAATATTCCTTATGGGAACAAATTCCATCAGTACTGGCACCTGAACATACTTCTGGAATGAAAAAATATCGTTAACCAAGGGTTCAATGTATTTTAGTTTCTTCTTTTTCAAGTCACTGTGCGTTAAAAGAAAACGTATCATAGAGGAACACTAAACTCATATGGGTCAGCTTCTTGGGGGAGTGGGAAGTATTCAGATTTGATCATAGGAAGGGAAGCACAGTTCCAAATGCTTAGATCAAGAGCCATCCCTCACTGGCACTAAGGAACCTCCCTTGAGGGGACTATGGAGGTGTTGCATGGGGTACCCCTAGGAAAGAGCAAGAGATCATAACCACATTTCCAGGCTTGACACCAAGACCCTAACAAATCCTCATGGAATATGACATTCACAGACAAAATTTAACTACATATAGTAATATATTGCCATGGACCTTAAATATGAGATCTCCCTGAGCAAGATGTGAATCCCAAATCATATGGATGATAAGTCGCATAGTCTTTATATGGTGGTTTCTAGCAGACACAGAGGATGCATAGTTATAAGCTCTTACCCAGTTGTCTATCTTCTGTTTTAATGCAGATCAAAATATAAAATTATTTGACTATAAGAAATGCAAAGCAAATTTATTTGCTTTATTAATGAATGAACATGGACTGCTTACAAATTAGGCAGAAATTATAAAAAAAAATAACTTACTTATCTTTTTCCTCTTTAGCATTTTCTTCTTGATCTACCATAGTACCAAAGGGCTGAGAAGCAATTGATGGTAAGTTAGACAAAATGACTCTCTGGTCACTGGAGCAGGTAAGTACTAGCTGGTCATATGAAGCATTATAACGCACACTCCACACCCTGCAAAAACAACTTTTCAAAAGGCACAAATTTCATATGTATGAATCAATGTCATAATTTTTTTTTTTTTGCCATCTCACACCAGGAAACATTCACTACACAGCTGTCTTGCCTGAAGTTTACAAACCTCTGACCTTTAACATTCCTACCTCTCCTTCAGATTGCAGTTCTGTACAAAGCTTCCTACTCCAGGACTCACATCTGGCTAGCCAATTTTGTAAATCTAACCTTCCTTACACTCCAACTGTATGTCAAGTCTCTAAGACAACATATCTCCAATCTAACACACTTTATTCTCAAGTTCCTTCCTGGGATGACCCTTATATCTCTCTCTTTCTACAGATTTATATATTTTCTTTGTCATTCTCTCTAAATGACTAAATCATTTCAACAAACCCTCCTCTGCCATCTGAGTAACCCAAGTGAACTTTCTAACCTTTGTGCTCTTCTTTCCACAACATTCACACTGCAAATTACACTCAAAACACAAAATCAACACTACCTCCTATTAGCTACACAATTTAAATCATGTTCCTTACATCCACATAAAAGGTTTGATACCACTATACTCTGGTACAATCCTTTCTTTTTCTTTCCTTTGTGTAGTATTTTGCTCTCCACAGATGCCTCAACACTTCACCTATCATTTTTTTCATTCATCCATTCTAAAGTTCACTTTCTTTATCACAGACTTATCTGCTGACACATCCGCACCCAGATATCTAAATACATTAACAACCTCCATACTCCCTCTAAATCTGATATACAATTTTTGACTGCCTAAATATTTTGCTACACTTATCACTTTCTTATTTTGCTTTAATTTCCTTCTTTTACACACCCTCCCAACATTGTCCACAAACCTTTGCAACTTCTCCAGGAAGCACCCTGGCTCAACAGGCACATATAGTAATAAAAATCTCCCTAAATAAAGCATAAACTAACAGAACAACAGTGTTATATGGAATTCCACTAGGATATAAAACTGCAGTTTGTAAACCACAAAAATTAAAGACAGATTTATCTCAAGCCACACAATAATTACATTATACCAAAATTTTAAAGTAGAAAGCAAGAAAGAACAAACAGTTTATTTACCCACCAGTGAGAGTGATCACTTAGTTCTTTGAGTGGCTGCTCAGTATTTCTAATATCCCAGAATTTAGTCTTGCAATCATCCCCACATGTTGCAAGGTAGTACTGCATGTTTGGATTGAAATCCAGGTCTCTGTAACATATAATGATAATTAATTTACAATAAATTGTAGTTGCCTTGATTTTGGGAGATCTTTGTATCACCAGCATCGAGGCCGGGAGACTACTCTCTCTCTCTCTCATCTTCGCTTCGGCCACACTTGTCTTTCTCATGGAGAGGCACTCTGTGAGAATTGTTTGGTTCCAGTTTCTGTTGGACTGCCCACTCTATCAACTAGCACTCAGAATTTACCTCCAACGTTGTCACTGCCCTTACTTTACCTTCCCTTCTTGCTGATGGACCCTCTTTTAACCCAGACTCTCTCACTGACTTTTTGACAGCAACTGATTTACTGCTCAAACTCTGATGATGATGCCTCTACTACTACTCACAGCCCTTTCACCGCTGCACTCCATGAACTAATAATCATCCCTCTTCCTACCCCTGCATCCTTCCCAGCCCGGCAGTGCTGTATGACCCTTGTAGGTTTAGCGCTTCTTTTTGATTATAATAACTGATTTTGAGAGAGACATTTTTAAGCCACCCAATCATATTTACAGGAGGGCCCCATTTTATACAGCAGATTAGGTTCTGGGCTACTGCTTTTAAGTGAATCAGCCTTTCTTCACTTTCAAATGCATATAAAAGCCTGATAACATGTTTATACTATCATATATTAAGTGAACAACATTTTTTTTTTATTAACACATCGGCAGAGTCCCACCAAGGCAGGGTGGCCCAAAAAAGAAAAACTTACTCCATCACTGTCTCGCCAGAGGGGTACTTTACACTATAGTTATAAAACTGCAACATTAAACACCCCTCCTTCAGAGTGCAGACACTGTACTTTCCATCTCCAGGACTCAAGTCTGGCCTGCCAGTTTCCCTGAATCCCTTCATAAATGTTATTTTGCTCACACTCCAACAGCACGTTAAGTATTAAAAACTATTTATCTCCATTCACTCCTATCAAATACGCTCATGCATGCTTGCTGAAAGTCCAAGCCCCTCGCACACAAAACCTCCTTTACTCCCTTTCCTAGGCCCCGCCTTCCCTCCACTACAGATTTATACACTCTCGAAGTCATTCGGTTTTGTTCCATTCGATTTACATGTCCGAACCAGTAACCTACCTCCTATACCACCCTGACATATGCCTTTTCCAAGTCCATAAATGCTACAAAAACCTCTTTAGCTTTATCTAAATACTGTTCACTGTAAACACTTGCTCTACACACACGCTACCTTGTTCATCTGCTATCCTACTCTTAATTCTTTCAGTAATAACTCAACCATACACTTTACCAGGTACAGTGGACCCCCGCATAACGATGGCATCGCATAGCGATTTTTCCGCATAACGATTACTTTTATCGCAAAATTTTTGCCGCGCATACCGATTAAAAACCCGCATACCGATTTTCGTCCGAGACGCGTCCAATGTGCCCTCACATGTGCCGGCCGTCCCATTGTTTACCAGCCAGCCTCCGCGGTAACATCCAAGCATACACTCGGAATATTTCGTATTATTACAGTGTTTTCGGTGCTGTTTCTGGAAAATAAGTGACCATGGGCCCCAAGAAAGCTTCTAGTGCCAACCCTGTGGTAAAAAGGGTGAGAATTAGTATGGAAATTAAGAAAGATTTTGAAGGGTTTGGGGCTAACCCTGAGAAGCCTATGCCAGTTGTGGAATCCATTGTGCCTACTTCAAAGATTAAGGAAATGTGTGCACAGTGGGTTGAACTGCAAACCTTTATAGATGAAAATCACCCTGACACAGCTGTTGCAAGCCGTGCTGGTGACTATTTCAATGACAATGTTATGGCCCATTTTAGGAAAGTCTTGAAGGAACGGGAGGTACAGAGCTCTATGGACAGATTTGTTGTGCGACAGAGGTCCAGTGACTCTCAAGCTGGTCCTAGTGGCATTAAAAGAAGAAGGGAAGTAACCCCAGAAAAGGACTTGCTACCTCAAGTCCTAATGGAAGGGGATTCCCCTTCTAAACAGTAAGAAGATAATGCTCTCCCCTCCTCCCATCCCATCAATCATCACCAGATCTTCAATAAAAGTAAGTGTCATGTAATTGTGCATGCCTTTTTCAGTTTGTGTGTATTAAAATTAACATTTCATGTGGTAAAAAAAATTTTTTTTCATACTTTTGGGCGTCTTGCACGGATTAATTTTATTTCCATTATTTCTTATGGGGAAAATTCATTCGCATAACGATTATTTCGCATAACGATGAGCCCTCTTGCACGGATTAAAATCGTTAACCGGGGGTCCACTGTATACTCAACAGACTTCTTTCTTTCAACAAAACGGCCGTGGCTCAAAAGGAGAAAGGGTTACTAGCCCCTTGCTCCCACTCAACAGACTTATTCCCCTATAATTTTTGCACTCTCTTTTGTCCCCTTTGCCTTTAAACAAAGGAACTATGCACACTTTCTGCCAATTCCTATGTACCTTACCCTCTTCCATACATTTATTAAATAATAGCACCAACCACTCTAAAACTATATCCCCACTTGCTTTTAACATTTCTATCTTTATCCCAGCTGCCTTACCCCCTTTTATTGTACCCACTGCCTCACGAACTTCCCCCACTCTTACAAGATGTTATTCCTCCTTGCCCTATACACGAAATCACAGCTTCCCTATCTTCATCCACATTTAACAATTCCTCAAAATATTCCCTCCATCTTCCCAATACCTCTAACTCTCCTATCCTATTTTTAACTGTCAAATCCATTTGTTCCCTAGGCTTCCTCAACTTATTAATCTCACTCCAAAACTTTTGTTCCACAAAATTTGTTAATAACATCTCACCCACTCTCTTTTTACATTGCTTAACATCCCTTTTTCTCTCCATATACTCTTCCCTCCTTGCATCACTTCCACTTTGTAAAAACCTCTCATATGCTAACTTTTTCTCATTCCACCAATCGCTCTTCTTCCCTCCCGCAACCGCTATCACAGCCCATCCTAGGCTATTCCAGCCTATCCCACTATAATAGGCTATCCTAGTGTATCCCACACTATCCTAGCTTATGCCACACTTTTCTAGACTATCCCACACTCCTAGGCTATCACACACTATCCTAGGCTATTGCAGCCTACCTTAGCATATCCCACACCATCCTAGGCTTTTCCAGCCTATCACACACTATCTTAGCTTATCCAAGTCTATCCCACTATTCTACCCTATCCCACACTGTCTTAGGCTATTCCAGCCTATCCTAGACTATCCTCATTTACCCAAGCCTATCCCACACTGTCCTAACCTATCACATTTTCTTAGCCTATTCTAGGCTGTACAACCTACCCTAGGCAATCCCAGCCTATTCTATCCTAGGCAATCCCAGCCTATTCTATCCTAGGCTATTCTTGCCTAATCTAACCTATCCTAGGCTAACCCAGACCATCCTCACGTATCCCACACTATCCGAGCCTATTCCACACATAGAGTATTGCAGCCTATGCTATCCTACTGTATGCCACTATTCTAGCCTATCACATGCTATCCTAGTTTACCCCACACTATTCTAGCATAACTCACTGTCCTAGGCTATCTTATCCTATCCCACACTACCCTAGGCTACCTCAGCCTATCCTAGACTATCCCACACTATACTTGATTCTAGATTATCCTAACCTCTCCCACACTATCCTTGACTATCGTAGCTTATCCCAGCCTATCTTACACTTGTAGGCAGCCTGTACTCTCTGCATCGACAGTCTATGCTGTCTGCCAGCTGAGTTTATATTACGCACCTTGCTCATGCTGCCACCTATTGGCCTATGCCACTTCAGTATGCCCACAGGTGCCTCTCTCTCACTCTGGCAACTCAGTGAACAGGTCTACTCCTTTCTCCCTTGCTGGGTATGGCCCGGGAGGACCATGTGCACAAACACACGGCCCGTGTACCCACTACTCTCGCAAATAAAGTAAGATGTCACCGTGCTGCTGAGGTCACCTCACGACGTCATGCCTGATCGACAGTGTTAGTTTCATAGTCAGCAGTATGTTGTGTTGTCGAGAAGATAAATGTCATGTGTTAATTAATTCCTCTCAGTCAGTGTTCTTACATGTTCATGCATAGCTTAGTGTCGATTTTTGCACAGAAAAGCGTCATTTGCTAGTAAGCCATGTTGTACCGCATGTGCAGTTTTCCATGTGTCCTGTGTGGTCGTGAGCCCAGCTGTGTGTGGACCACAGGTCTGCGCCTTGACCACTGTGTAACACCTTGTGTTATTTATCACCCAGTGTGACCCGAATGTTGACAGCTGACATTTGTCAGTCGAGGCATCAGTCCCGAGCTTCTGCGCCCCTTGTACAGAAAGCTTTTTATGTTCGCCGCTCGTGATGCCCTGCACAATCATACCTGCTACGATTCCCATCGAGATTTGTTTCACTTCATCTTCTGACAGTCAGAATGCAGTTATATGTAGATCAGTCTGGGGACGCTTAGACTAACCTATGCTATAACTCCAACTGTCGAGAGAATGACACTCGTCAGGCCGCAGTTAGCCCCTGTCGGCAGGTGCTGTGTCAGCCTCGTGTCACAAGCTTCAGTGAGCAACCTGCACAAAGATGATGTCACTTTGGCTGCTAGCTCGCTCACTCCAGTATGGTGTATAATGTAACGACTTCCAGGTGTTTCGTGGAGTCGTCTCTGCCACGACTCACTCCACGCTCGCCAGCAGTGACAGTACCAGTCGAGAAATGTCCTCCTGAGTCGCTTGCCAGAAGTCCTGCCGTATTGACGACGCCTCACTCGAGGGCACCAGCAGGTTGAGTGAACCTGCAGCGACTCCTTTGATGACTGCTTCACCATTCCAGAGGAGACCGTACCCCATTATGTCACAGCTCAGCCGCAGCGATGTCTCCTGTGTTGCAGCATCTGTCTAGACGCAGGAAGGCGTACAGTGATGCCCCTCAACTGTCACTACCTTAGACCACGATGTTTAGCACACCCCACCTGTTTTTTCTTCCCTCCCTGTAGGAAGTTTTTTTTTTCCATATCCATGTATGT